TTGAAATTGTTCTGCTGCTGCACCTATGGGGGCAGCACAGCCTTGTATGTCTCTTCCACAAAACCTCCTATCTGTGCAAGGGGTCGACGAGAATATCACAGGGAAAGTGAGTATAGATCAAAAATAGATGTGGAAAGCGAACTCATTTCAGGGAAGTTCCAACAGGGCCTGCCTCAGCCCCACCAAACAATGGGGGTGCTTTCCTCAACTCCTCCCCAGCCTCACTCTCTGCCACCAAGCACATTTATGACCTCTGGTGAGCAACAAAAGACAGTAGAGGTTTGGATCTCAGTTTCTTTACAGATTCATACTAACGCCTCAAATGGAACCTCAAATTACTCCTACTGAAGTCTATGTCCCTTTGCCTCAAGGAACAGTGGGTCTACTACTAGGTTGTAGCAGTCTCACATTAAAAGGTCTCCAGGTTTTGTCAGGTGTCAATGATGCTGACTAAACAGGGGAAATCAAGATTATGGTTCAATATACTCAAAACACTGTTCAAATCACACCAGATTCTTATGTTGCTCAACTGGTTATTCTTCTCTTGACAAATATTGGAAAATCTAAGGAAGGAGGTTCAGGGGCTTTCAGTCTTCCCATACTTATTGTATTCAACAGATTAAGCAGGATCATCCTGAGATGGAATTGAAGGAAAATCTTTTAAAGGGCTTTTAGACACAGGAGTGGATCTTTCTGCTATTACCCAACAGAATTGGCCAATGGAATGGCCTCTGGATGTGGCAACTACAGATCTACAGAGTGTGGGTGATATTTCACACAAACCAGTTCGTCATTTGGGAATGCCAGTTCCCTGTTTTATTAGCCACTTACATTCCCATTCCCAATTACCAGGGCCTCTCAGAGAGGGAAACAATGCAAGAGACAAACTGCCGGCCACTGTCACTGTTGTCCCCTCAGATGCCATTTGACAGGCTTCTGCCCCCTTGCCACACTCAATCAAAATGCTTCTGCTTTGCACCCGCAGTTCCATTTAACCTGAGAACAGGCTCAGCAGATTGTTAAACAATGCTCCTCATGTGTACATCTTCCCTTGCTTTCCATGGGGGTCAATCCCCGAGGGTTACATGTCAACCATCTCTGGCAGATGGATGTCACTCACATTCCTCAATTTGGCTCTCTATGCTGGTCCAGTTTCAGTGGACACTTTTTCAGGATTTATCTTTGCTTCTACTCACGCTGGTGAGGCAGCTAAACATGTCACACTGCTCAATGCTTGGATGCATCTAGTATCCTAGGCTGCCCACGGGCACTTAAGACTATGGCCCAACCTATATGAGTGTTGCTTTCCAAATGTTTTGTAAAACTTTTCATGTCTCCCTTGCCAAAAGAGTTGCTTATAACCCTCAAGGTCAAGGAATTGTTGAGTGTGCTCACCAAACACTCAAGATTCAATCACAAAAACAAAAAGATGAAGCTTTTCCTACAAAATTTATATTCTATCTAGGCAAACCCCTTGTTAGGGTGGGTAGCACTCACATTCAGAACTATGCCAAACCAACCAGTGGGCTAAATTAGTAATCACCCTCCTTTAGTCCCACATCATGAATCAGTCCCAGCACTATGTCCTTGATCAAAGCAGCACAAACCCTAAATCCAGCCACCTCCAAAAAGCCCCACCTATGTCTGCGTGCGGCTTTGGGGAGATGTCTATAGATACAAGCCATTACAACCACAGATTTCAATGGCAGCACTCTCATATATCAAAGTCCTCTAACTGTGTGGGTCTTTCCCTAAATTCTCTATTCTTTGTTCATTGGGTATGTTTGTTTATTTCTGTGCTAACAGCATGCAATCTTAATTCAAATTTCCCACTTTTATTCCTTAGGAGGGTTTCTACTATTGTTAATCCTTTGTTCTTGTGCATAAAATTTAGGAGCACATTTTTCTCACTAAAAATCAGGATTTTGACTGCCATTGCACTGAGTCTTTAGATTACCAAGTAATCTAAAGTAATAAAAATTTTATTACCAAGTACTAAAAATTTACAGTATTGACTTTTCCTACTCATGTGCATGACATCTCTCAATTTTTAAAATTCTTTTAAAAGTTTTAATAAAATTTTGTCATTTTTCTCTATACAGGTCTTGCACATATTTAGGTAATTTAGGTAATATAAATTTATTTTGATCCTTTATTAAGTATAGCTTTTTGAATATATTTTAAATATTTTGTGCTAATGTATAGAAATATAATTGATTTGTATAATGAATTGTTCATAACTATTTGTGTAGATTACCGGCTCTATAACTCATGAGTCAATTTCTACATTACGTATTTTTTAGCTGTCTTTTATTAAACTTTTAACACCTATACTTTCACAGTATGTTTTTTTTTTAAAGCTAGTTCAGGATATTTGAGGCTTCCTTTCAAGACTTTTTTTTTTTTTTTTTTTAGGAGAAAAAGGAAAAAAAAAACAGAAAAAGGGTACAAGTAATACAAAATTTAAAAAATAAACAGTAAGAAATCACTAGTTAATAGATTACATATTCTCATCTTAGAAATAGTTGTTCAAGTTACAAAATTAAAGCATATAAAGTGGATTTTCAAACAGTGAGAGTGCAAGCAGTTTTGTTCAATGATCCAAAAAAACTCAGTAATATGGTTATCTATCTTATACACTTAAACATACATGCAGTTATAACCTTTAGAGCACTTTCTTTTCTTTTGTACAATGACAATTTCACATTTTGGGTTTTATTACTCCCTCTGTTCTTATTACTTTTTTTGAAGAGAGTAAAACCAAATGCGACATATCAGAACAGAGTCAGTCAAATCAAAAGGATGGACATAATAGATAATGTAAAAACAAAATACAAGGTGATCAACAATGGTTACCATACTGCCTCTTGCTATTTTTAGAAGAATTGCCAGTTATAATAAAACTGAACAAAATAGTAAAGAATAAAACCAAAGCATTGGAGACATTACAGGACTTTAAAAGAAGATAATAAGTCAACCACAATGAATCTTATTGTCTTCACAGTTGTTGCCTATACTTCTGAACTTGGTACTTACTATCAAGCAAAGCAGAATAGGGGAAAATCAGTCAAAACAAGATGGTGAGGGCAATACAGGATTTCAAATCAAGTTAATAGGAAATCAAAGTAGGTTACTATAATGTATCCTATTTTTTATTTATTTTTCCCTTAATTAAAAAGATAAAAATAAAAAAGTAAATAATTAAAAAAAGGGGGGAATTGAGATAAGAGAGGGCATAACAACAGAACAGGTCAAAATATAACCATTTAAGCAAAATAGTGTTTCACCACAAGATACCCTGACATAAAAATAGTTACCATAGTGTCTATTTCCTTGAAATCTTTGAGTATAACTTTGTATACTGTAGCACCAAATATATCAAAACACTATAAAACCATTCAAGAGAATGGCATTATTACAGGGTATTTAGAACCAATTAACAGAAAATGAACAATGGTTTCTGTATAATCTCCTTGTCTATAAAAGTTTTTGTTTATATTATCATATATAATAAAATCCAATAAGATACAACCATTTAAGACCGATGGAGGCAGATTTGAGGCTTCCTTTGTCAACTAATATGTTTGCAATTCTCATAAACTTTTTTATGTATCCTGGAAATGAATGTGTTTCTCAGTGGGAATCAGAGTTCCATACATCTGCGTTAAAGTTAAGCAGCATTTCTGGAAGTAATTTGTTTGCCAGAACTAATTTCATTTATTAAGCATTCAGCTTAATTAAGAACTAAGTATTTTTCAATTCAGTAACTCCAAAATCTAGGATATTAATATTATTGCTTTTTGCCAAAGCAGGACTTTAAACTCAAAGGACAATCTGTTCAAATTCCACAGCAATAGCTAAAATTTGAACTTTAATCTGTTACTTTGTTTACAACAAGTTCCTAGGGTAAAAGCCACAGCTACTCTTCATTCCCCAGTACCTACTGGCCTGTTAATTTTTATATTCCCTAAACTCTGTGATTCATCTGGCCTTCACTAGTCTACTTCCACTTTCAGTAAAATCAAGTCAAAGAAAATAAATGCCAGTAATGAGACACTAGAACCCAGCGTTACTGAGATGTTTAAACCGTTTCACCCACATTACTTCATTATTCTTTTTTTTTCAAGTCCATTTTATTTCAAGGGAAAAAAAAGAAAAAAACTAAAATAAAATTCCAAAAAAAACTTTTTTATCGGTACCAGAGATCGAACTCATGACCAGATGCTTGCAAGGCAGACGCTTATGCCGCTGAGCTAAAACTTTTGATACCAAGGCTCAAACTCACGAACTTCCACTTGTCAGGCAGGCGGAGTGCCACTGAGCTATAAACCTTCATTATTCTTAAGACTTATCAAAACAGGCAGTACTACAAATTAGGAAAATTGTTCTTTCAGTTTACCTATTTAAATACCCAGACAATGGCAGATACAGTTTCGTAGAAGCCAGAACTCTTCCTTTAGTCCCGTGTTTATAAAAATATTATTTAAAATAAAGCTTTAAAACATATATTGTAAAACATCAGACTAAAGCCAGATTCACGGTGGAGAACAGTACTATGAGGATCATCTCATTCAGTTTAATTTCCTAGTTTCCAAAAAACTTAGGTCCCAGGTGGTGCTGTAGCTTGCTCAGTGAACAGGCTAGGATCCGGATCCTACTGGGAACATGGCCAATTACAGGGAATTATACCAGTCTCAGAATAAGGTCTCAATTTACAAATGATTGTAGCACAAAAGATCGAGGCACATTAATTTCATTTTAAAACGAAGATTCCATTGCCTAGTGGAATGACAGATGTAATTACAGTGCTTCGATTATTGCCCTTAACCAGGGCTGGCACGGAATGGACTGTAGGGAACAGGCAACAGGCAACAGCTAGGTGCTTCTTTGCAGGAAACATATTGGGCCCGAGGAAAATTAAAGCCCGCCCCAGGGTGAAAAGAAGGCAAGCCCAAAAGCACAGCTTTGTTGCTGCTGGAGGTGAGGGCTCGCATCGCTACCTGTACTGTGAAACGGTCAGCGTAGTCTCCGGCTGAGCACCAAAGCCAGGCAAGCGCTGGTTTAGGTAGGCCTCCAGGGCTTTGTGGTCGAACTTGTGCTGTGGAAGCACTTCGGCGATGTCAGGCTCTCTCCATCTGGCATGTCCCTGCACCATTGCTGTTGCACGCAGTAAGCCTCGGAATCCACAGTTGGAGACTGCCAAAGTCCCTAGGAGGCAGGACATCTGCGTGAGATAAAGGGCGCGAGGCGGGGGCGGGGGCGGGGCCAGCCCTAGCCAATCACAGACGCCCTCGGCGCCCTAGCTGCTGAACACTAGCAGGCGAGTTCTAGGGCTCTCGTGAAGATCCCGGAAGCTCCAGGTGTGCGTTCCAATATAGAATTTCCCCTCAGAATCAGAGACCTCAGGTTTAAAGATAGCAATGCCACAGTGGTCGCAACTGTTGAAGAAGGCCGCAAAAGCCTCTTCACCCTCAAACTTAAGGGGCTTTCAGGCGGAAGACGATAGGGTGCGGTTTGCAAAAGAGGTCGTCAGGCCTGCGAGCTGGGGAATAATAGATCCTGGTGTTTCTGCTCCCTGTTTACCTATAAAGGCAGTGTTGCCGTCCGCCTTCGCTAGATGCTTAGGGCCCTGGTCTCCTAGTGCCTGCGCTAGCGGATCTAAGTAAGGAAGGAAGCCGAGAGCAGCGAGTGTGCGCCGGGGGAACGAAGACGGCGACGCACCGGAAGCGGGGCCTTGGGAGGCCGGCGGGCGTGACGGAGACGTGTCCAACTGGGAGGCCCCGAGGCTTGGAAGGCCAAGGCTGAGACTTCTGTGTCTCCTCGCGGGCTCAGCCGAGCAGCGTGGGGCGGCGGCGGCGGCGGGCTGGGCTGGGGGCGGCGGCCGGCGGGGTCCCAGCCATGGCCGAGTCTGTGGAGCGGCTGCAGCAGCGGGTGCGGGAGCTGGAGCGGGAACTCGCCCAGGAACGGAGTCGGCGGGTCCTGGGCGACGGCGACGGAGGGGGCGGCCGGGTCCGCATCGAGAAGATGAGCGCCGAGGTGGTGGATTCCAATCCCTACAGGTGAGCGGCGTCGCGAGTGGCAGGGAGGCGACACTCCAAAGAGGGGTCCCGAGTGAGGCTCCCCCGTCCCGCCCACTCAGACCCTCACCATCGTTTCCTTGGGCTGGGGATCCCGTTCCACAACGGGCAAGACCCCGCTTTAGTGCTAGTCCTAAAATGTTCGTTCTCAAAAAACAAACCAACACCAAGTGAGTCATCCATATGGTGCAGTTCCTGTGCCTGCTGTTGGTTTGTGTTCAGCTTCTTGTCGCCCTAGCATCTCCTAGTCCACCTCGTTCTGCACAACAGTGATGGTGACATTAACTCAGATATAAAGCCCGCTGAGCATAGATTTCGAGTTTCAGGCAATCTTCCCAGTATCTCACATGGGAGCAGGGCGGCAGGGAGCAGGGTTAACCCTAACCTGAGATTTTAAGATACTCCTTAACGTGCCTGGCCTCTTTTCTTCAGAAAGTTTGTAATATAAGGAGGGCATTGTATTATCTACCTCTGTCATGGTTATGAGAATTGAAAACGCCATTGTATGTAATGTTCTTACAGTAATGATTATACATGGTTAAGCCTTGTACAAGACTTTTGCTCATTGCATTTAGTAGAAAGTAAATTATTGAGCTTTCACTATATGCTGAGTACTTCAGCATTCAGTCTTCTCTCACCACAGCCCTATGTCATTGGTATTATTTTACTTTATTTATAGGTCAGAATATTGAGGTATATATTTAGATTATATATGCTGCAGTAAGTAATAAAGGCCTAACTGATACTACATTTGTTTTATCCAAAATTCATATGGAATTATCTCCTCAGTAAAAGTAAATAAACCTGGTGGTGTATGCGTGTAACTGAAGAATTGAGGCAGGAGGATTGTAGATATGAGCCCACCCTTGACAACTTCACAAGCCCTTGCCAAAAAAAAAAAAAAAAAAAAAAAAACCAATAAAAGAAATAACATTACTTAAGCTGGATAGTTTTAACATAGGCGAAATAGAGAAAATTAGGTGATTGTTGCTCTTTCCCTTTTAAAAAATCATGAAAGTTTTGGTTTAAAAAAAAAGATCTTAGTTGTTTTGACACATAACGCATTGGTGGCAGGGTTGGGGTGCACCATTTTAACTGTATTACTAACTACAAAGGGATAATGTTCCAAAATTTTTAGATTCAATAGGCATAAACTGGTATCTCTAATTAGAACAAGTGGAAAGTATTCCTGTGTGATATCTTTAAACATCTTTAAATTTTATAAATTTAAAATAAAGACTTTGAGTTCTTGTTCCAAGTTGAAATAAAAAGGTCATTGTAATCACAAACAATTTCAGAACCTAAGTGTAAACATGTATTTTCTATCTCATTTGCACTATTTATGTTTTTTTTTTTGGTCTTTTTCATTTTTATCGGTACCAGGGATCGAACTCACGACTGCCTGCTTGTAAGGCTGGTGCTTATGCCGCTGAGCTAAATCCCCAGCCCCCTATTTATCTTTTTTAAAAATTGCCACATAGGAGCTATAGTTGATATCTGTTTCTTACTATGTGATAATTTGGTCTTATTTTTTTTAATTGTGATTCATCTAGCTCAAACGCCTCTTTATAGATATCAGACACCACGAATACAAAATATACAAAACTTCCTAAATAAGTGTGAATGACAGGAAGGAAAATGTGTGTTACAATAAAGGTGGTAAGAATTATGATAGGGAAAGTACAGAGTACGTAGAAAATATAGAAAATGTCTTTGTATGTTCTCAACACCATTTAATTGCATCAAATGATACAAAAGAAATAAATTCCCTGACCTTCTAAGTCTTTTTGCTTTAGTTGGAACACTAAATGAGTGTAGAATACTAAAAAACACAAGTAACTGAATTATGTGGTATAGAATGTAAGTATAACTTGTAGAGAAACTGGAGAGAGCCACGTAGGGGTTTTGAGATTAGAATATGTAAGTTTTAAATGCTACTCAGAAGCATAGCTCTGAATATTTTTGACAGATAGCTGGGTGGGCAGTACATTAACCTGAGTTTTCCCCCTAATTAGAAAAGGGGGGTTGGAATACATTCTTCTCAGGGTTATTTGTATTAAAGGAAGCATCAAAAATAAGGATGAAGCATAGGAATTTTACTATAACTACCCAACTTCACTAATTTGACAGTGAAGGAATTTTTTTAAAAAGGAATAACCCCATTGAAGACAGCAGATTTCTGTTGCCCAATTCCTGTTCCTGAAGATTATAGTGACACAATTTTGGAAACTGAAAAAGGGGTGAATGAAGCAAGACTAGTTTAACAGAGTTTAAGAAGTTGAATCTTAAGCCTGCATCCAGCTTACACCACAGAATCCCCCCAAAGACTCAGGAATAGGCGTAAGTACTTCTAGAAGGCCTTAATTTAGGGTTAAAAACTTTTTGATTGAAAGTCTTAAGGTAACAAACCAGGGCCCAAGGGTCCTAACTCCACTGTGAGTGTCTTGAGTAAACACCCTTGCCTACCAGGACAGAAGATTAGACATTTATTTATTGGAGAGAGCGTGACAGAATTTTTATCAGTAACTGGGGCAGGTTTTTAGGCGTAAAGCAAGGGGTTAACAGTGTTACATGTCTGTGCATTCAATATTTACACATTCACACCTCTCCATTTAACTGTCCTGGTGTACAGTCAGGAATAAATACCTTTCCAGTTGGAGTCTGAAAAATTCTTTAAAATTTTTTTCTTTATTGTGTTTGTGATACATAATAAATACATTCACCATGGGGAATTGGTACATATACATACCAAATTTTGACCATTTTTACTTTCCCTTCTCTTCCTCTCGTCTTTTCCTGTCGGATCCTCTTCCCATCACCATAAAGGTTATCTCCTTGTTTCTTTTTTTTTTTTTTTTTTTTTTGTCTTTTTCGTTTTTAGCGGTACCAGGGATCGAACTCATGACTACCTGCTTGCAAGGTGGGCGCTTATGCCGTTGAGCTAAATCCCCAGCCCCATCTCCTTGTTTCTTATCATCTGGCTTTTATTTTGCTCTTTAAGTTTCTATACTTTTGGTTTCTAATATAAGAGAGAGAAGCTATCCAATATTTAATTTTTTGTGTCAGATTTATTTCACTTACTATTAAGGTACCTCCATTTTCCTACAGATGAATCAAACTTATCTTTCTTTATGACTGAATAGTACTGTATTTTCTTTATGCATTCATCTTTTTGCTAGGCCTGCATGGACCATTTCCAAGATTTCACTGTCAGGCTGCTATGACATGGCTATGCGTGTGTAAGTGTAGTATGATGTCTTTAACTCTCTTGGCAAGATATGCAAAAGAGGTATAGCTGGATCAAATAGAATATCTTGTTTTGGTTTTTTGAAGCATCTCTGAACTGATTTCCATAGTGTTTATACTAGTTTACATTCCCACCAGCAATGCAGAAGGGTTCTTTTTTTCCCACAACCTTAATAGCCTTTAACATTTTTTGAGTTTTTAGTGATAGCCTTTCTTTCTGGAGTAAGAAAAGTTCTTCTCTGGAAAAATCCCATTGAGCCAAAAAGACTCAGTTATGGGTTCAAATGGGTCCTGGCTAGATTACCCTACAAGCTGAAAATCAAAAAATACTGCCCACTTCCTCACTTTTGTTGTCCCATTCTTTTTTGTCTTTTTTTTTTTTTTTTTTTTTTTTTTTTTTTTTGAGGCAGGATCTTGCTATGCAGTTCAGGATGGCCTTGAGCTCACTTTGTGGCCCAGGCTGTTCTTGAACTTGCAGTGATGCTCTTGCCTCAGCCTCCCGAGTGCTGGGATTACAGGTGTGCACCCCATGCCTGGCTTATTGTTCCACTCAGATATGGTTAAAATAAAGGCTGAAAGAATCTGCTAATGTGAAAGAAACAAAATAAAAATAGCAATTTGGATAGGAAACATTCCTCTAAATTACTACTAGCATCCTCACATGAGAAAAGCTATTGCATAAATGAAACAGGAACAGCTACTATAAAAAGCATCATACTGATGGTTAAAAAGAATTCTTCGTGACTGGAGATGGTAACAGAAATTAAAATCTCAGTGGATTGGGGAAGTTGAAAGATTACCCAAGAGCAGAAAACTAAAGCTGGAAAACTGGACCTAGGAAATAGAAGTAAAGGACTGGTCCAGGGGAACCAACTTCCAAATAATGGGAGTACTGCAAAAATCTAGAAATAAAAAAGCCAAGCAAGAAAATAATCATTTTTTTATTTTAAAGAGAAAAAACAATAAAAACAATAATAATCATAACAATAATACCCCAAACCGTTCTTTTCAAGAACTTAAAGAAATTAATAGTATAATTATCTTGTTATTATATTCTTTCCCTTCCTTTTTTCTTTTCCCCCATCCCAGTTCTTTCCTTTTGAGCAGTTTCTTTCCTTTTCACCATATCTGTTATAGATTTTTTATCTTATTTATTTTCAATTTCTTACACTAGGGGGCCAGTAGGATGCAAGTCTGATTTATTTCATTTGTGAATATGGTTTCTGGTTGTACCCATTTACCTATAAAACCCTCAAGTTTATCCTTCTTTATAGTTGAGTGGTATTCCATTGTATAAAAATATACATCTTTTTTAATCCATTCCTTGGTTGATGGGTGTTTGAATTGTATCCAAGATTTAGCTGTTACAAACTGTGCTGTTATAAACGTGGGTGTGCATATATATCTCTGTGGCTTTTAATTTTTTGGGGAAGGTCCCAAGAAAGGCAATAGCTAGATCAAATGGGACCTCTAGTTTTAATTTTTTGAAGTCTCTTCACTCTTTCTTTTCTTTTCTTCAGGCTGGTCTTGTGTTCATTTTGTAGGCCAGGGTGATCTCGAACTTGCAACAATCCTCCTGCCTCAGCTTCCCAAGTGCAGGAATTACAGGCATGCACTACCATGCCCAGCTTCTCCACACTGACTTCAACAGTAGTTGCACCACTCCCACAGTGGAGTAGAATTTCTTTTTCCCACAACCCCACCAGCATTTGTTAATGATTGATTTCTTTTCTTTTTTTTTGTCTTTTTCCTTTTTTATCGGTACCGGGGATTGAACTCACGACTGCTTGCTTGCAAGGCAGGCACTTATGCCGCTGAGCTAAACCTCCAGCCCCAATGATTGATTTCTTGATGATAGCCATTTTTTCTGGAGTGAGATGGAATCTCAGTGTTGTTTTAATTTGCATTTCTTGAATGACCAATGATGTTGAACGTTTTTTCATATTTATTTGCCATTTGTATTTCTTTATCTGCAAAGTGCATTTTTATCTTAGATGCTCATTTTTGGGTTGGTTCTTTAAATTTGAGGGACCTGGGAAAATAACTAATTTTTAAATGAAATTCCCAGAACTCAAAAATGTAAGTTTCTAGTTTGAAAATGTCCATCAAGTAGCACAATGGGTGAAAATTGATTCACATAAACACATTGTGAAATACTGTATCAGAGACTAGAACTGGTCACTGGAATAATATCCTAGCAACTTTTAAGGGAAAATTCTTCCCAATTCTAAACTTCTATATCAAGTTAAACTGTCAACTACTTATATGTGTGGCTTTCTGTAATTATGTATCCTGTTATTTCTATTAACAGGCGAGCTTTGATAAAAAATTCCAGTATTCATATTCTCACAAATTTACTTTGGTAGTACCCTTTGCAAAACTATTGAATGATTTACTTATAACCATAAGAAAATAAATGAAGAAATAATCTATAGCAAAGAACTTTAGACTGTAGTTTACATCAGAATTACTTGAAAGGCTTGTTAAAACATGTGCCACATACAAAAAATAAATTTTTTTTAAACAATAGCAAAGTTTATTTGAAAAAGCAAAGAAGTGAAGGATAAGGGAGAAATTGGCTCTGCAGAGTAAGATGGGCTGAGTAAAAAAAGGAAAAAGCAAGATAAAAATATACCCCAGAGGACATAGGGTGGACTATAATAAGGAAAGCCATGATGCCTCCACATCCAAAATTTCTGATTCAGAGGATGAGACCCAAGAAACTGATTTCGGGCGTTCTCAGGAGCCACTGCTACTGTACAGACCACACTTTAGAACCACTGAGCTGTGATACAAGGAAGCATGACATTAATATGAGATAAATGAAGAACACTTGTACTATAATTATGAAGGGAGATCCCAGAAACAGAGCAGTATATACAGTAGGTTAAGACATTGTGTCAGATTCTAGGAGATATATTCATCTTTAAGAAGATAGACATTGAGCTAGACATGTTACGCTAGCACTCTGGGAGGCCAAAGTGGGAGGATCTCAAGATGGTTTACCATGACCCTGTCTTAAAAAACATTTAAAAAAAAAAAAAAAAGGGCTAGAGATGAAGCTAATAGGAGTGAAGGCCCTGGGGTCAGTTCCCAGTATCCATGCCAAACACACAAAGATCACAATGATAGAAGAATTCATATACATGACTATCTAACAGGATTTTAGAGAACCATTGAAGAGTTGGGATTTAGTAAGTAAAATTGCATAGGAAATTAAGGAGAAAGTTATTATTTTGAAGAGTTTATAGGGAGAAGGAGAGACTTTAAAATACTGCATGCTTAGTTGTGAGTGGTGATATCTAACCAAAGGGATCATAAAAGAGTGTGGGAAGGCTGATGGGATAGTGGTATCTCTGCATAGTAGGAATGGGTGATAAGAGTAGAATCTTCAGTTAATGCATAAAACTGAAAAGAAATAATGCTAGCATGTAATTTAGAGACCGATGATTATAGAGCTGAAAGTGAGGGAAAACAGAAACTGGAGGTCAGAGGACTACTAAATTTCCTAAAAAGCTTAGTGGGTCTGTTTGACTCCTTAAAATGTAAGCAAATGAAAATTCTGCATATATGTATATAGATTTAAACTATACCATATGTGAAACTTTAAGATAACAGAGCAGATTAGTAGTAACTAGCTGAAGTGCCTCTGAGAATCCTTGGTATACAGTAGGTGCTTACTGAAAGCAGACATCATCCATTATGGGCAGAGGCAGCAGGTGAATGGAATATTATTACAACCGCGAGCTCATTCTGATGATGGAGATTGAGCATTAAACATTAAGTATTTATCTATGTAAACTTTACTTTTACCCTTAAGGTTTAAGTTACTACCTGTAGGTCTTAGCTACACATTAGAACACAGAAGGAGCTTTTTAAAAGATACATTGCTTTACAGGCTACACCTAGGAGGCCTTATCTGTTTTTAAAGCTATGGAGTAATTTAGTTTCACATGATAAAAGCTAACTAAAAGATTCTTCCTTTTAAATGAAGACTACAGGTTAGAGTTTTGTTTATTTTCTGTGGGGATCTATGTTTATATCATTATTAATTAAAAGACTAAGCTTTAAAACATTTTTTTGTTTTAAGCCGGCTGATGGCATTGAAACGAATGGGAATCGTAAGCGACTATGAGGTATGACAAACCTGTCTATATTTCTGAAGATGAGTTCAGTAAATGAAAATAATTTCTGGTGACAAATCAAGAGTTATTAACCAATACGTACCTAAATTTGCTTTACAGAAAATCCGTACCTTTGCTGTAGCAATAATAGGTGTTGGAGGAGTTGGTAGTGTGACTGCCGAAATGCTGACAAGATGTGGTATTGGTAAGGTAAAAATATTTCTCTTTGCCTTTCGTATGGAGAATTCACCCCTGGAGCAAATCAGGTACAAATTAGGACTTTTTCCCCCTTAATGCTATTGGTCTGTTGACTTGTGTTATATATTCAGATGATTCCCTCCCCCACAAAGTTAAGACATACCGCTACCAATTGAGAGCTCATACTATTGCTAAACAAGGATTGTGTCCAGGACCTTTTTTGTTTTATGTTTTACTCTCTTAGATGTATAATCTTAGAAAACAAGACTGCTGAATTGGTTAAGTCTAGAATAGCAAAAGAAATCTTAGCAACAAAGGCAAAGCAAGGGGTATCATAATCCCTGACTTGAAATTGTACTATAAAGCTACCATGGTAAAAACAGCATGGTACTGGCAAAAACAGACCTGAGGATCAGTGGAACAGATTAGAAGATGCAGAAATCATTTCAAACACACTCAGTTGCCACGTCTTTGACAAAGGGCCAAACACTCACTGAAAGAAAGACAGCTTCTTTAATAAATAGTGCTGGGAAAACTGGCTTTCCATGTGCTGAAGATTAAAACTAGAACTGTTCTCTGACCATATACTAAACTAAAATTGAAACAGATCAAAGATCCAAATATTAAAAAAGAAACTCCAAATCTGCTGGAAGACAGAATGGCTAGAACTCTTGAAGATGTACGTATAGGCAAAGACTATGAACAGAATTCCAGTTGCATAGGAACTATCACAAAGAATCAACAACTGGGTTTTCACTTTATTAAAAATCTTTTGCACAGTCAAAGCAATGACCAGCAGAGTGAAAAGACAACCCACAGAGTGGGAAAACATTTTTGCTAGGTGTTTCTCAGAAATAGGATTAATACCTAAAATAGATGAAGAACTAAAAAAAATCAGACTCCCCAAATTTAAAGACCTAATCCAAGAAACAAGCATCTGAAATGAATAGACACTTCTAGAATGAAGAAGTAGAAACAGTAAATAAGTGTATGAAAAAGTGATCAATATCACTTGTCATTTGAGAGATGCAAATTAAAACAACACTGAAATTCCATCTCATTCTAGAAAGAACGGCTATTATCAAAAAAATCAATACGTCCTGGTGGGGCTGTGGGGAAAACGTAATCCTTCTCTAATACTGGTGGGAGTGTACGCTGGTGCAACCACTGCTGAAATTAGTGTGGTGATTCCAAAAAAAACCAAAATTAGGCATTCCATCTGACTCAGCTATTCCCCTTCTTGGGATCTTTCCAAAAGAATTAAAAGCATCATACCACAACATGTATGTGCACCCATGTTTATAATAGCACAGTTTGTTAATAGCCAAATCTTGAAAACAACCCAGATGCCCATTAACTTAAAATGGATAAAGAGGATGTGGTTTTTTTTAAATATAGTACAGGACTACTCTACCATAAAGAAGGATAAATTTGACATTTCTAGATAAATGGATGTACTTTGAGACCATACTCTTAAGTGAAATAAATCGGACACATATGTTCAAATATCTCATGGTTTCTCTGGTATGAGAAACCAAAAGGGTAAATAGGGACCAAAATGTATAGTACATATGGTGAAACAGGGCACAAATGTTCAAATGGAAAGAGCAACTAGGGAGGAAGGAAATAAGGGAAAAGGAAAAAAGAATATAAGGAAGACTGGAAACAAAGATTTTGTAAATGAGACAAAGAAGGGTTGAAGTGAGGAGAGGGGAATGGGAAAAAAGAATTAAGATATATCCTGTACACGTACAAATTCTCTGTGATCAATGTTATGTATATCTGAAATGTACCAATAAAAGTAATTTAAAAATAAATTGATAAAGTGGGAGTATAGCACTAAAACATGTAATAAATACTGTATTGGATGCATAATGACTATAGACGTACTGTAGTAGATTGCATAATTATCACAGAACACATGTACTGATCTTACTCTTGAATTTAAACCAGAGAATGGTTCAGATTTTTTTACCCATACATTTTTTTCTTTACTTTTACCCTAAAAATGTATAAAACAGGTAAGACAATTGTACTAAATCATTACGTACCTTTAGACATACTGTCTACACTGAATTACAATAATTTTTTTCTATCTTTTTCCTATTATCTCTTTTATTTCATACTTTATGTATATTGAGTTTTTCATATAAGAGAAACCATGTGATATTTAAGCTTGGGTGTCTGAGTTACTTAATATTATGGTGCATCCATTTTCCTACAAAGGACTAGTTTATCCTTTGTAATGGCAGAGTAGTACTGTATTGTGTATAAATACCACACTTTTTAATCCATTCATCTGTTGATAGACATATGGATATGTTTCCACGATTTAGCTATTATGTGTTGTCCTGTTGTAAACATAGATATTTCATACCATCACTGTGGTATGATGTTGTTAACTCTTTTGGGAAGATGCCCAGAATGGAAATAGCTGGTCAAATGGAATTCCTACTTGTAGTGTTTTTAGGACTTTCTATATTGATTTCCATAGTGATTCATAATGATTCCATAGTGTCAATTCATAGTCCCACCAACAACAAAGAAAGGTTCCTTTCTCCATGCAGCCTTGGTAGATGTTCTTTCTGGAACGAGATAGAATCTCAGTGTGGTTTTAATTTGCATTTCTTGAATAACCAGTGATAATGAACATTTTCTTTTTTTCGTGTATTGTCTGAGTTACTTCACTTAACTGGTTGAACAGAATCAATATCACTTAAAGCTAACACTGGGGCAAAAGCTCAACCAGGGTCTCGCCATTTGTATTTCTTCATCTGAGAAGTATCTATTTGTTTCAGATGCCTATTTTTAATTGGGACTTTAAATTCGGGAGATCTAATTTTTTGAGTTCTTTATATCTTCTAATTATTAGTCATTTACCTGAGGAACAGCTGGCCCATTTTTTTCCCACTCTGTATCTTTTCTCTTCACTCTTGTTAGTGGTTTCCTTTGCTGTGCTTGCTTGTTTCTTGCTTGCTTGCCTGCCTGTTTGCCTGCCTACCCGGCTGCTTTGCTTTGCTGTGTTTGCTTTGCTCGCTTTTCTCTTCTCTTTTCTTTGTTTCTGAGACAGGGTCTCGCTAGGTAGTTCAATCTGGCCTTGAGCTCACTATGTAGCCCAGGCTGGCCTTCAACTCAGAGTGATCCTGTTGCATCAGCCTCCCAAGTGCTGGAGTGACATGCATGCCACTATGCTTGGCTCATTTGTTTTTAAGTCTTTTAGGAGAAGTAACCTTATACCAGCATTCAGTCTTAGATTTATAACCAAAGTCTATGATGTTAGGTAAGAGTGGTTTAATAGATAAACTTTCCACAATTGTGTATCTTAATTTGTCATAAAGCAAACATTTTTTCTATATAGTTTATGGATACTTTCTTTTTTTTTTTTTTTGTCTTTTTCGTTTTTTATCGGTACCAGGGATCGAACTCACGACTGCCTGCTTCCAAGGCAGGTGCTTATGCCACTGAGCTAAATCCCTAGCCCCAGTTTATGGATACTTTCTAGTATGTTGATCTACTCAAACTTTTAATTTCAAAATTGTCATTTATTCATCAGTATAAAAAATAACAGCAGAATATAAAAATTGTTTATTAAAACTTTGATTTTTTTTAGGAAGTTTACAAAGACAGACCAAAAATAACATATAGCTAACTTTAGTGCCTGGAAGTTTCAAGTGATCCTGATGGCATTTGGGGTACTAAACTTTGAGACCTGTTGGACTTTTGTTACTCCAAGTCAAGTCCCCAAAGTAGCCAGAATCTGCACTTCTACAGGCTAGTTTGCTAGAGTTTCCTTAGAGTTACAGTGTCCTCCAATACTGATTCTGTTCAATCAGACTATATTTTGAATAGCAAAAATCTAAGATAGTAATTACCAATTATTGTTCTAATTAGAATTAACTGGGAAGGTATTAACAGTTCTGATGTCCAGACTGCACTTAATGTTAGGGAAATAGGATCTCTAGGGCTGAAGCATGGTATTGCACTTGGGAGGATGAGGCAGGAGGATCGCCACAAGTTTTGAGGCCATCCTGAGCCACATAGCAAGACCCTGTCTCAAAAAAGAAAAAAAATCTGGTATTGAGATGCAAACATTTGCATTTTTAATAACTTTTCAAGTGTTCCTAGTGTACACTTAACATTTGTGTCCTAAAAATCTAAATATACGAGTTTTAGGAATTTTTTTTTTTTTTCTTTTGGTACCAGAGATCGAATTCACAACCTCATGCTTGCCAGGCAGGCATTGTGCTGCTGGGCTAATCTGTAAAACAGATTAATAAGAAACCAGTAAAGTTGAATAGAGAAGTAGAGCGTGGGAGACACAGAGCCAATTTCAGATTGAGGCAAGCATCTGATGCGACCTGGATCACCACGTCTAGATGAGCTGCTTTGTTTTACTGATTTAAAAATTTAGGCCTAAAAACGGACCAAAGTGATTAGAGCTAATTGGTGATATTTAACCATTCATACTTCCTATTCCCAAAGTTTTATTTCCTGAAACTTACTCATGAACAGGCAGTGAGGCAGGAACTCAAATTTAATAATTGGCCTCACCTGGTAAACACTGTTGACTGAGCCATGTTTTGGGGACTTGGAGATTAGAATGCTGTAAAAGGCATAAGTGATATATTTTCTAGCAAGATATTAAAAAGAGTTCTCTGAGTGTTGATATGCACTGTGTTAATTTTTTTAAAGTTTCTATATTGAATAAAATCCTGTTTTTAGCTATTAAATTTAAGCTATTGAGAATCATATTAGAGTCTCATAGAGTCTTAGATTAGGAAGGGATCTTGGAAATACTTGGCACTAATGTATTCTTACAGATAAGAAATGTGATCTTCTGACCATTTGAAATGGTGTGTGTGAGGAACACTGTTTAAAATAGGCCTAAAAATACAGCGGGCAACGATTAGATGGTTGGCTAGTAATTCTCTTTGGAATAATGTTTTAGGCATGGCTATATTTTGTGTTACACAAAAGGAGTCAATTTGTACTACAGTTTTATATTAAAGCATTTTAGTTTAATAGTTTTTTATCTTATTTAAAGATTTCATTTATCCAAGGAGTTCTCTCCACCCCGCCTTAGGAAAAAATAGAAATGAAGTAGAATTCTGGCACAATTTTTAAAAGTTGGAATGAAACAAATGAACATTGATTTCTCAGTGAACCCGGTTAGGAAGCAGCACAGCACTGTGGTTAGGGGACAGGTGCTGGATTGAGAGTTCCTGGATTTGAATCCATTTTTACTCCATATTTTAGCTGACTGATCTTTGGGTCATTGCCAAAGTGCGTTCGTTTCCTCATCTCTGAGATGGGAATAACAGTACCTGTGTATTTTCCTCATATCACATTCAGTGTCTCAGAGTTAGCTAATGTTATTACTCAACTGTTAAACCCATCAAGTGTAAAGTGAACTTGTTTGTGACTAGTTATGTTTAACTTTGGGGTGTGTTTTTCATTGAAGCACCTCTGTTTTTATTTTAGTTGCTACTCTTTGACTACGACAAGGTGGAACTGGCCAATATGAACAGACTTTTCTTCCAGCCCCATCAAGCGGGACTGAGTAAAGTCCAAGCAGCAGAGCATACTTTGAGGTAAGTGGAATTACAATTACTGACCATAGTCAGTGAAATCTTATTTTTATATATAGTGTGAGTTGATAATGTATAAATGGACTTTAATTTGTCTCTGTAAAAATACATATTTCAGTTGTGCAAAAAATTCTCTTACCTCTTGGACATGTGCTGCAAGTGTTTCCCATATAGGGGTAAAGAGCACATATTTCAGCCTTTGGGGCCGTATGGCCACTGCTGCCATTGCTTAACAGCACACCTTTGCTCAAATAAAACTTTAGTTTTGGATTTTGAAATTTGAATTTCATGTTATTTTCATATCATAAATGGTCTTTTGAATTTTTTTACGTAACTGTTGTAAAAATATTCTTAGCTCAAAGACTGTACAAAAGCAAGTGACAGGCCAGATTTGGCCCAAGGTTTCATGGTTTTCCAGCTCCTGTTCAGTTTGGTAGAAGTATATTTGGAGACTCAATATCCATGCACAAATTGGATAGGGAACGGGAAGGTCTTTTGTTAGGCTCTCAACAGTAGCCACCAGGAGCCCGGGCAGCCTGGGGAATAAGAAGAGAATCAATAAGCCAAACCATGCCTTCCAGTGAGCCAGCCAGTGTGCCAGCTGGGAGACAGGAAAGGCAGACCTCTTACCCTTACGCCCCCAGGCAGCTGGCTGCTTTGGAAGAACTGAGGCTGAGATGATAGCAACTGAATTAAAAAAACCTTAATGTTTGTATTGTTTGATTGGCTTTGCAGGCCTAGAGCTGGTAGTCTGAACATCTATTTGGAGGATAACAGTATGCCTTGTGGCAGCTGTGGGGGATTTCCTTCTGTCTTGTGTTTGAAATTCAGTTTTTTGTTCAGTTTTATTGTTTTGTTTTATCTCTGTATTTGGTGACCTGAGCAACTATTTTAAAGATAAGAATATGCAATATAACAGCTATTGTTAAATTTCTATCATCTTGTTTGAAAACCTATATAGCTGTTGTTGGGTTTTTTTGTTGTTGTTGGTTTTTTTCCTTCTTGATTTTTCTCTTTAAAATAAAAATAAATAAATGAATAAAAAAGTAGCTACCAGAAGTAGTGAAGGCTAAATTCCCAGCACATAGATTGATCCAGGTTGGGGCAGGTACATTTTTATAATCTTTAGGACATTCTATACTTTTTTAAACCTACTCCCTGAAGTGGGACAAGAGATAGAACAAGATTTGGAGTTTCTTTGAATGGCTTGAAATCCACTTATCTCAAGTATGTTAAATACTCTTGAGTTTATTGAATGCTTTCTATTCTTGATTACTACTGTTAGTACTACCAGCAGTGTTACAATCACTTCCTCTTTCACTCTTAGGAACATTAATCCTGATGTTCTTTTTGAAGTACACAACTATAATATAACCACGGTGGAAAACTTTCAACATTTCATGGATAGAATAAGGTAAAAGTTTTATTTACAAATATTGTATAGAATGTGCAGCTTAGCTAAATAAGCATTAGAAAACTACTAAGTCAGTGAATTTGTAGATTGACATACATTTTTCAGTTTTTAAAAATAGCAGTTATTGCAAGGGCAGTGCCAAGAAAAAGAAAAAGGTTCAAAGAACTTCCCAGGAAGATTAAAGTGGATATTCCCTGGGGGGCAGCAGTGGGGTGTGCCCCAGGGTGACAGTTCCCATCCCATATGCTGAATCCCAGTTAATAAAAACAAATCTGCAAAAAAAAAAAAAAAAACTAGCAAAACAAAAACAAAAAAACCTAGCAATTTTTATGTATTAGAAGCTCAGTACAAAAATACTGTCTAAAGAAACAATGAAAAAAATCAATAACAAAAAAAAAAAAAAAAACCAAAAAGCAAAACAAGAAAACCTGAAAATTACAACCATTGAACAAAGAACACCTAAATTTAAGTTCTGTGTTTTGCATTGTATTTCTCTCCAAAAATGATTTTCTTTAGAGACAGTCAGGACATTTTTGAAATAATGAATTGCATTTTATTATTTTTTGCTAAATTTACATTTGTAGTAAGCATGAAAAAGTCTGAGAAATCTGATAGGGAAATTGTAACTTTTCTAAATAGATTATACTTCCTTCACCCTTGTAACAGTATCAATATTTGATATTTATGGGATCTTTAAATACTATGTTATATTTATACTTTAACATTTAATCAAAGAATAAAAGTGACTGAATTAATAAAGTCTAATTAGAAAGTTGTTGTTTCCTGACTTAAAAAATTTTTTTTGAATTAGTACTGGTGGGTTGGAAGAAGGAAAGCCTGTTGATCTAGTTCTTAGCTGTGTGGACAATTTTGAAGCTCGCATGGCAATAAATACAGTAAGTATCCCTGTTGTGTAAGATATATTCATGGATTTGTCTGTTTTCCTATATATCAGTGTACAATTGCCAACCTACAAGCAGTTTGAATTTAAATCTATTTTTGTGTTTTATTTTTTAATGTTCTCTTAGTTTACTTTTAAAATTCATGGTAATAACTGTTGGACCTGTCACACCTTGCTGTGGGATGTAGGTTTCAGTACCTCTTTCTATTACACCAGGACATAATAGCAAGTGCTTTTGATGTGTGATTTTAAAAACACATGAATATTTTGTAATATGTGTTCTTAATCACCATTGGTTTTAACTTTTTACTTTAAGTAAATGTATAAATACATTAACTAAAAACATAATTTCTCAAAAATAAAAATCTTTTGAATTTTTAATTGTTGAGATATTTTACAGTTTTTGTTGCTGCAATTTTAGAAAAATTAATTTTCCCTTTAATTGGACAAGAAATCTTAAAGTACAGTTCAATTTTATCAATAGCTATTTTACTGTCTGTTTCTTGAGTACTGACAATTTGCTCTTTAATAGAGGTCAGTATTGCCCAAAATTCAGTTATTTACAGTCTTCCTCTTTCATCTGGGAAATGAATTTTTAGAGACACTTGATAGGCTATTGAGTTATGGCCTAATGTTTCATAAAAAACTTAACTGAAATTATTTTGTGTACTTTCATGTTTTTCCTTGTGTTTTCACCTGTTTCTGTTAAGGCTTGTAATGAACTTGGACAAACATGGATGGAATCTGGGGTCAGTGAAAATGCAGTGTCTGGGCATATCCAGCTCATAATTCCTGGGGAGTCTGCTTGTTTTGCGGTATGTATTACTTGTTTTGGGTCATTTCTTATTGTTAGGTACTAGTATTCTAAGGGGAATTGAAAGTGGACTGAAATTCAAAGGAAAACAAACTCTAAGATGATGGAATGCTACTTGGAACATCTCATTCTTTTCCTGATTTCTCTTGAAGTTGTTTTCTTTATGCTGTTTTGTGTAGTGTGCGCCACCACTTGTGGTTGCTGCAAAGATTGATGAGAAGACTCTGAAGCGAGAAGGTGTTTGTGCAGCCAGTCTCCCAACCACAATGGGAGTCGTTGCGGGGATGCTAGTTCAAAATGTGTTAAAGTAAGTCAGGCTTATTTTTCTGAGTAGTGTTACACGCTTTTGATAAAAATAAATACATGTCATGAAGCATTTCAAAAACTAAAATTGCCAGCTAAGGCTTTTACTTTTTAAAATTTAAATTTAGTTCTCTATTTTTCAAATTTTATGTGTGACATGTGTGTATTTTTATTTTATATATGTATATACTTTTTATTATACATATATTAATATGTTAAATGCATTAATATCAAATATATTAATACATATGTATACATGTACATTTGAATGTCAGTAATTCCTTGCATTTGAAATAGCTCTTATTAAATGGTACAGTGGTATTGCTATATTTATAGTTGTACATTGCTTAATTACAGAGAATTATGAGAAACAGAATAATTCTATCATTGTACAGACATCATGCAGTGAACTTACACAAACTGAGATGTTCCTGATACCAGGCTATATAATATTTTGGGTCCACAGAGGTATATTTGGTCTGTTGTTGACCAAAACATCATTTTGCGATACAAGACCACACTTCATCAGAGTTAAATTTCTGCAGACCTGACCATGGGTGAATGTTTAGGCATAAGCACATTTGCTTCCACTGTGTTGGCCTAACTCTTAGTAAAAATAATCTGAACTTGAGTAAATATTAACCAGAGAAAAGCTTTTGTTATCCCAAAACAACCACAGCTACATTTTTAAACCATAGCTAAAAAAGAAAGAAAAACATTTCTATGTAGCTAATACTTATGTCCAAATTTGTGAGCCAGTTTACGTTTTATTAAAAGCAGATCTTACTCAAGGTGTTTTTTCCTCTCGGTACAACTTCAGTAAGTCTAGTGATCTCTCTCAGCCTCATAGAATAATAACAAAAAGCCACATCATACAAAGAAGCATCCTAATACCAGTGATAAATGTCAACTGCCAGCAAAGACCCTGTATACACACGTAAAACGCCTACAAAAGAACTCTGAAGGCAGTGTAGGTCTGTGTCCTGTCAGAGCAAGAAGCCTGTGTGAAGTTCGGTGGTCCCTGTATAAGCAGCACACTTTCTGCGTGGTACCATAAAGGAAATTAGAGGGTATTCCCCTGTGGGTATGTTATGTGTTTAACCGGCCTTCTGTTGATGGACATTTAGGCTACTTACTTTTTTTGTGGTTTTTGGTAACAATGCTTCAACCATCTTACCTACATCATTGAATAGTGGATTTCTGTACAGTATATGTCTTTGTAAGTGGAATTTATTTCAACAAATATTACTAAATTTCCCTTGAAAAAGAACTGTTCATTCCCATCTTAGTGTGGGAGGGTCTGGTCAGCCAAACCTGTAATAACATTGGATATTGTCGAGCTCTTTAGGCTTTGTCAGTCTGGTTAACAAAAAAAAAATGAGTACTTCAATTAATTTCCATTTATTTGTAAATGGGTTGGACATGTATATTTTTCTGTGAGTTATATTTTAAAATATCCTTTGTTCTTTCGTTTTTTCATATTGTACCTTAAAAGCATGCATTTGTAATTACTTTCCCTTTCATCATTTGTGTTTTTTACACGGTTTTTATTCTACATGGAGACCTTTAAAGGGAATCATATCTGACAGGGAAGGGGACACGAAGGAGGTTATGGGATTTTGAAATGCACAGTATTTTGATCCCATGGTACTTAGTGGGAAGGCATAAAATTTTACTGCTCTGTACATTCAAGATTGTATATTTCATATAGTTTTTATAATAACTAACTTAAAAATATTAAGTAGATTTAGCACTATTTCAGAGATTATTAAAAAACACATTTTAATATCTCTAAAATCAGTATGCTTCTTAAAATCTTTTAATATATAATACCTTAATTGCCAACATTTTATTTTTATTAGGAGTTAAAAATGGTATATTCTATAATTAATAAGTTAATCTTTTTTTTTCCTTTTTTCATTCAACAAAATGAAAGTGTCTTCTTTGAGCTAGGCTCTGTAAACAAGAGAGAAAAGGTCTGTTTTCTGGGTTATGTGTTACAAAAATGACCTCCTAGTCTAAGATCATTTTTTAAAGTTCACTTTGAGTACTTTTGCAGTTCTCTTTCTTATCTTGTCTGTCGTGATTTGTCTTCCAGGTTTCTGTTACATTTTGGGACTGTTAGCTTTTACCTTGGGTACAATGCAATGCAGGACTTTTTCCCTACCATGTCCATGAAGCCAAATCCCCAGTGTGAAGACAGGAACTGCCGGAAGCAGCAAGAAGAGTACCAGGTGTGTGTCGGTCTGTCAGGCGTCTTAGGTCAGGGTTTGGGTGATGCTATTTCCTGTGCTCTTGTCACATGCTGCCTTTTTATTATTAGGAAGTGTCTGTAGGACACAAGGTCACATTCATCGTGAGGAGCTGGTGCACAAGTACAACACATCGCAATGCTTTTTATGTGATTTTTGTTTTTCTTATTCTCCCTTTCTCCTCCCTCTATTTGTTTTTCATCTATTATCTTTTATTGTACTCTTTTATTTTGGGTTTCTCATGTAAGAAAACTATGTGACATTTAAGCTTGTGTGTTTATGTCACTTAATGTTATGGTCTTGGGTGCATCTATTTTCCCACAGATGACTGAAGTTTATCCTTCTTCGTGGCAGAATAATACTCCATTGTGCATAAAAACCACATTTTCTCTATCCATTTACCTATTAATGGACATATAGGTTGCTTCCGAGATTCAGCTATTATGAGTTGTGCTGCTATAAACATGAGTAATATGATGTCTTTAACTCTTTAGGGAAGATAACCTATGAGGGGAATAGCTCGGTTGAGTAGAATTTCTTGTTTTAGTTTTTTTGAAGAGTCTACATTCTATTTCCATAATGGTTTTACTAGTTTACTTTCCTAACAGTGAAGAAGAGTTCCTTTTCCCCTGTAGTCTTACCTGCATTTTTTGTTATCTGATTTCTCAATGAAGGCCATTCTGTTTGGAGTAAGACGGAATTTTAGAATAATTTTAACTTGCATTTCTCTAATGGCCAGTGATTTTGAACATTTTTTCATGTATATATTGGCCTTTTGTATTTCTTCTGAGAGTTTCTCATGTTTTGAATGAGACTTATTTTGGAGGTGTCTGATTTTTTTCAGTTTTTTGTATATTAGTCCTCTGTCCAAGGAATAGCTGGTAAAATTTTTTTCCCATTGAGTAGGTTGTTTTTTCACTCTGTTGGTTGCCTCCTTTTTAAACTGACATAATCCCACTGGTTAATTCTTGGTGGTGTTTCTTCTGTAACTGCAGTTTCTTTCATATGCCTGTGTCTTCAAGAATTTTACCGATTTTATCTTCAGATTGTTTCTTTTTTAATATTTAGATGTTTGATCCATTTTGACTTTAGTTTAATACCTGGTAAAAGATACAGATTTACATTCAGTCTTCCGTATGTGGATAGCCAGTTTTCCCAGGACCGTTTTTTTCAAGCTGGTATCTTTCCTCCACTGTTAAGTTTTTGACCTTTTTGTTAAAGATTAGGTAGTTGAATGTATTTGAAGGTGTTTCTGTCTCCTCTATTCTGTTCCAGTTACTCACATCTCCTTTGTTTTGTTTGCTTGGGTTTTGTTTTGTTTTGCTATTTTTTTTTTTTTTTTGTAACTTCATATTATAACTTTAGTTCTGGGACTGTGATTTTTCCTGCCTTGTCCTTGTTACCCAGAATTGCTTTTGCCATTTTATCTCTTCTTGTGCCACACGCTATCTAGGATGATTTTCTCTAGTTCTTAGAGGAATGCTACTTGTATTTCAATTGGGATTATGTTAAATTTGTCTATCAGTTTTGGAAGTATGACCATTTCAACTGTATTGGTTCTGCCTCCAGAAAATATCTTTCCATTTTCTGAAGTCCTCTTTATATTTTTCAGAGTACTGTAGTTTTCATTGTAGAAGTCTTTCACTTCCTTGGTTAGGTTAATTTCTAAGAATTTCATTTTTCTTGGTGCTGTTGTGAAAGTTTTTATTTTCTTAGGGAGTTTATTATTGCTGTATAGGAATGCTATCAATTTTTGAGTGCTGACTTTATATGTTGCTATACTGCTCAACTTGGTTAATCCTAGGAGTCTTCTGGTAGTTTTTGGAGTCTTCTATGTAGCAGATCATGTCATCTGCAAATAATGATAATATGAATTCTCCTTTTCCTGTATATACCCCTTTTGTTTCTTTCTCTTGCCTGCTTGCTCTGGCTAATGTTTTGAGAACCATATTAAGCAGTAATGATAACAGGGGGCATCCCTGTCTTGTTCTTGATTTTAGAGGGAAAGCTCAGCTTCTTTTAATGATGTTGGCTGCTAGTTTGTCATAAATGGCTTTATCAAACTGAGAAAAAGTCCTATTTGTATCTCTTCATCATCATATTATTATTATTATTATTATATTACTGGTATGGGGGATCAAACTCATGACCTCATACTTGCGAGGCAGGTACTTATGCCACTGAGCTAAATCCCAGGCCTTTCGTACTTTTATTATGAAAGGATGTTGGATTTTGTGAAAGGTTTTTTCTAGGTCAGTTTAGATGATCAAGTGATTATTGCCCTTGCTTCTATCGGATGTATTACACTTATTGATTTGTATGTGTTGAACCGTCCCTTCATCCCTGACATGGATCCCACTCGCTCATGATGTCTGGTATCTTTGATGATTCTCTGCATCCAAATTGCCAGTATCTTGTTGAGGTTTTTTGTGTCAGTGTTCACTAAAGAGGTCAGGTCAGCCTATAGTTTTCTATTTTGGTTGGCTCTTTTTCTGGTTTTTGAGTCAGAGTAATGCTACCTTCCAACAATGACCTTGAGAGTGTGCTTTCCCTTTTGATTTCATTAAAGAGTTCGAGGAGTATTAATGCTAGATCTTCGCTAAAGGTCTTGCAGAATTTGGAAGTGAATTCATTACAGGCTGATAGGTTTATTTTTATTACTTCTTTAATCTCATTGCCTAATACTGGATTATTCAGGGTTTTATGTCTTCATGGTTCTGGTTTGTTTATATGTATCTAGGAATTTATCCATTTTATCTGAATTTTCCATTTTATGAAGTATAGGCTCTCTGGATTTTGGCAAAATGTGTTGTAATTTTGCCTTTTTAAATTTCTTATTTTGGGTATACTTTTTTTTAGTAAGGCTGGCTACAGATTTATTTACTGCATTTATTCTTCTAAAGAACTAGCTGTTTGATTTATTGGTTCTTTGGATTGTTTTTCCTAGTCTCAATTTTATTATTTCCTGCTCAGATCTTTATAATTTCCTTTTTTGTACTAGCTTTGGATTTGGATTGTTGTTTGTCTAGGAGCTCGAGGTATATCATTGGGTTATTTATTTGGGCTTGTTTTTCTGATGTGGGCATTCATAGGCATAACTTTCCTTTTTAGAATTGCTATCATTGTGTCACATAGGTACCAGTATGTTGTATTGGCATGATCATTTGATTGTTGTGACTCACTGATTATTCAAGAGGCTACTGTTTAATGTCCTAGCATTTCATAATTTACGTGATTTCTAGCTTTATTGCACTATGATTTGAGAATATGCATGGAGAAATTTCAGTTCTTTGGTATTTACTTATGGGCTTTATGGGCTAGCATGTAGTCAGTTTTTGAGAAAATCCTATATGCTACTGAAGAGAATGTGTATTCTGTGGATGAAGAAACACTTTGTGATAGCTATAAAGTTCATTTGTTTGAAGGCATGGTTCAACTCTATTATTTTTTTGTCTTGTTGATCTGTTTGTGACAGTAGGTTGAAGGCTCCTATTATAGCTGTCTTGATATTTATCTGATCTTTATATTCAATAGTGCTTATGAAGAAAGGTATATAGTTATCTCTTTCTGTTGAATTGTTCCTTTAACCAATGTATAGTAATCTTCTTTGCCTTTTCTAATCAGTTTGGCTTGAAATCTCCTTTATCTATCCATACTCCGTTTTTTCCAGGTTCCTGTACCATGGAATAGTGTTTTCATTCTTTTGATTTTTAATTTGAGTAGTTGGGATTAAACACGTGTTTCTTTTTCTTTTTTTGGCACTGGGGATTGAACTCACAACCTTGGCTTGCCAGGCAAGTGCTTGTGCCATGTAGCTAAATCCCTGGCTCCAGTAATTGGTTTTTGAAATCTCCCCATCTTCTGACACTGTGTTCTCACACTGCTGACTTTTGCTGCCCATATTTTCAATATAATTTTTAATCTCCAGGATTTGTTTGGAAACTTTTTGGCAGAGCCTAGTTCTCTGTTAAATCTGGTTGTTCATGTTTTATATCATTTTGTTTACTACAGATAGCTTTTTTGTTAGTGTCTATTCTTCCTGCTAGGATTTGCAGTTTTGGAGTGCAGCAAGTCTGTTTTCCATCAGCGTTTTCAGCTTTTAGCCTGTGGGTTTGTGAGGTGTACCCCCTATTCCAGAGGCCCCTCAACTGTGCCAGCTGTCCATGCCCCAAACATGTCCTTGCTCATGTTGGTGGATAGCGAAGGCATTCAGACCTCAAAGTCTATCTGGATGTAGGCAGCAAGGCACGGGTTCAAGTACTTAATACCAGAAGGCACTTTCAGACTCGGCTCTTTTGGAGCACAGCTCAACCTGGGCCTGGCTTCTCATTATTTGAGGTGAGGGTCTGTGTCCTGGCCCGAGGTTAAATTTCTCAGGGGATCTCTTTCTAGCCTGCTGCCTGTCTGCAGCTGTCCCCATGGTGCTCTTACCAAGTCACTTTGAGAAAGTAGAAGCCCTGAAGTGAAGTTGTTTTTTAGTCATTCTGAGTCCCAGACTAAAGTGATCAACGTCTCCAAACAGTGCCTGAGCCAGCGCACTGGTGATACATACAGTGGGCATGCGCACTTGAATCTCTCTGTAGCTGTTGACTGTTGTGTGGATGGGATTCCCCTGGGGCAACAACCCGCGCTAGTTTTGCAGCTGACAGACTGGGCTCTGCTGTTGTTTCTCCCCAGGTCAACCAGCCCTGGGAACTTAACTTACTTCTGGTGGGGGGCAATTCCCAACCCTAAAAACCTGAGAGCCAGGAAAAGAGTCCCACGAGGGGTCATACTGCATAGGACAATACATGTTTTAAAAAAGAAACACGCTTGAAATGGAAGATAAATGGATTCTGGATTTTTATTGTTTTAATTTATTCATTATACTCAAAAGTGAAAATTGTTGCTTCTGATAAGTTAAAAATTGTCTCAATTCTTGGGGCTGGGGATTTAGCTCAGCGGCATAAGCGCCTGCCTTGCAAGCAGGCAGTCGTGAGTTCAATCCCGGGTACCGATAAAAAGGAAAAGACCAAAAAAAAAAATTGTCTCAATTCTTGATTAGTGCCTCAGAGAACCGAGAATGAGTGGAAACATTTTGGTACTGTTTGATTTCTACAGAAAAAGGTGGTGGCATTGCCTAAGCAGGAGGCTGCTCAAGAAGAGGACGCGATAATACATGAGGATAACGAGTGGGGTAGGAATTCTCTTATAAACTGAAGGAAAGAGTGTATTAAAAAAACTTGTGGTCAGAAATATTATGCAAATTTTAAAATAATTATTGCTTATGAAGTTTCTTCAAAACTATTATAGGAGTAAATTTACTTTTACAGGTATTGAGTTGATATCTGAGGTTTCAGAAGAAGAACTAAATTCTTCAGGTCAAGTTCCTGAGTTACCTGAAGGAATTACAGTGGCATATACAATTCCAAATAAGGTACTTCTAAAATTAACTTACTCATCAATAAACATCAAATAAGTGACAATGTGTGTTTATCTTCTCACTCTGTTTCGTAAGCCAGGGCAGTGTTTTCTGTTTTAGGTACTGTACACTATATATTAAGATATGACAGGTATTCAGTGTTCATATGGAGGTACACAGCTCATTTTAAATTCTTTGAAAACACAGATACAAAGTGGTTTTGTTTACTCATAATGAGTCAGTAGTTTTTGTATAAATGAAAACATTGTTTTTGTCAACAGTACTATTTCAATAAACAGTCTATAGAACCTTTCTTTAAAAAAAGAGAGATACACATAACAGGTATATTTAAAAATGCTCCGGCCAGGAGTTTAGGTCAGCGGCATAAGTGCCTACCTGGCAAGCAGGTCATGAGTCTGATCCCTGGCACAAAACAAAACAAAACAAAGAAACCAAAAAAAAGCTTAACATTTCTTATTAGGGAAATGCAAATCAAAATCAGACGAGCTATCACTTCACTTAGTTAAAATGGCTGTTATGAAAAAGACAGACGATTAGTAAGCCCTGGTGAGGGTGTGCAGCAAAGAGAGCTCTGTTGGTAGAGATGGAAATTCGCATAGCCATTATGGAAACAGTATTGAAGTTCCTCAGAAATTAACCTGTATCTATATTTATCTTCCTGTACCTATATTTATCTGGAACTGCAGTCCCACTATAGGGTGTATACTCCAAGGAAATGAAATTTAGTATGCTGAAGAGAAATCTGCATTCTCAGGTTTACCACAGCATTGCTCACAATATCAAGAAATGGAGTCCATCTGACTTTTGTCTTTTGGCTAAATTGACTAAATAATACGATTCAGCCATAAAAGGATGAGACCCTGTCATCTGTAACAATATAGAAGGAGCTGAAGGTTACTATGTTTAGTGAAATAAGCCAGGCACACAAACACAGTTCCTCACTCATGTGTTGAATCTAAAAAACTTAATGGTTTCCAGAGTTGGGGAAGAATAAGTGGAAGAAGGAATAGGGAAAGGCTGGTCAACAGCTACTAAGTTAAACAGAAGAAATAAGTTTGGATGTTCTATTTCATAGCAGGGTGACTACAGATAATACTAACGTTCTATACTATATTACAAAAGCTAAAAGAAAAAATTATGAATGTTTTCACCAAAGAAATAACTATTTCAGGAGGTAAATATGCTAACTTGATTTGAAAATTATATAATGTATATGTTCCAAAGCATCACATAATACTCTATGAGTATGTATAATTTTTATGGAATTAACATACTTCCGTAGAATTGTCAAGAATGTTAAAATTACTTTCCAATAAGTAAAATACTGGTGGGGAAACTCAAGGACTTTGTTTGTCCTTAAAAATTGCAAGGCATATTTACTAGAAAATTTACTTTATATTCTTGTTGAGAATGGCTAAAGTTCACTGATTTCTAAGCATAAAGAATTATGGCTGTTTTCTCACTGTTTTTCCCTCATTTGTTGACAGCAGAAAGATTCTGTACCTCAAGTAACAGTGGAAGATTCTGGTGAAAGCTTGGAAGACCTCATGGCCAAGATGAAGAATATGTAGATAAAGGACTGGCATATATATATTTTTTCTGTATTTGATCCTACTGTTGAAATTTTAAAAAGTTCAAAAATCAGTAAAACTTAGGCCAACATTATTTGATGTATGTATCTTTACTGAATTGTTATGTTCTACTTTATGAAAATACTGTTGGTGTTATTTCCCTTGTCCCTCACCTAAACTCCTAAAACACATGACCACAAGACTTGAAGGTAGTTGTACATCTTAATGAAAATGTAGCCATTGTCACCCAGTGTGATGGCACACACCTGTTTTCCCAGCCACTCAGCAGGCTGAGGTAAGAGGTTAGAAGTTCTTGGACTGGGTAACCTAGTGACTCAGACCCTGCTTAAAATTTAACAAATAAGAGTATGTACTGCTGAAGCAAGCATAACATTTAAAAAGTTCACAGGGCTGGGGATGTAGCTTGGTGGAAAGGCCCTGAGTTTAATGCCCAGTGCCACGCTAAATGAATGAATGAATGAAAAAATATAACTAAATGGCTTTGGGGGTAGGGAGAAATCTGATCCTTTATTCTTTTTCTTCCTAGTAATCTCTGTGTTGCCTGAGTTCATGGAAAGTACTACAGATAATAAAAGACAAGAAGTACAAATTATTGATTATAGTTAGCAAGCATCTACCCATTGTTTGGAATTGTTCCCTACAAGCAAATTGCCTTCCACAGCTAATGACTACAAATGACTAATACTAATACAGCCATATATAAAACAAAAATATCTCCTGAGATTCTTGTAGTGAATTACAAGCTGAAATGTAGTCATTGCAAATTTGTAAACCTATGTTACAGGAATAAAAACAGACAAATGCAAATAAAAGGAAGCTGTTTTCATGGGCAGACAGATGACAGTATTTTCAGAAGTACAAATTATATTCTGTTCTGCCTTGACCAAGGAAAAGAAATCATTGCATTTGTGACATAGTAACTTCATTGGTGAACAAGGAATGTAGGTAGAAAATGATCATTCAGATTATACCAATCATAAAGGCTACTCCTAAATACTTCACTTAAATTTTATTCCAAAAATAATGAGACATTGGCTGAGTTTGTTCTGGTTAGTGGGCTTAAGATTTTAGATTGTTATGTAATGACTGACATATACTTATTCTGTGGAAGTTTTATTTCCTCATTGTGACCACTAAACTATAAACAGATACAAACAGGTTTCCTCTCTAGTTGTATATAAATAAGGTTAGCATGTGAGGCTTAGAGAGCATTGGATTAAATATATTGCCAATGGTTTGGAGTAAATAACATGCAAGTATAACCAGGACCAGTAGACTGTTCTATGCAAATCTCTTATTTTGATGATTTTTACTTTGAAGATGCGTCTACATTTTATCTATAGAAGAAAAATATAAAGAAAGTACATTCCTCACCTATAAAATAAAGCTCTAAAAACTGATTTCACAAATATGTTCATTGTATTAGTTTTGATATTCTAGGAGTATGTCATACTTATTTCTAATCTTTAAACTGCTGTTTTGTGGTATTTAGCCAGGCTCAAGGCCACATGCCTGTAATCTTGGCAATTTAGAAGGTTGAGGCAGAAGAATCATAAGTTTGAGGCCAGCCTATACCTTAACACATCTTTATGGTTAAAAAAAAAAACAAAAGACCTATGGATATAGACAAAAGACCTAGGGATATAACTCAGGAGTAAAGCACTTGGTTAGCCTGCATGCGGCTCTAAGTTTGATAATATATATGTATATATAATTGAGTTGTAGAATAGTTTCTTCTAATTATGAGAAATGTTTTGAATTTCAAAAATGAAATGCAATCCAAGTGTGGTGACACATGCCTATAATCTCGGCACTCAAGAGGCTGAAGCAAGAGGCTTGCTGTTGAATTTGAAGTCTTCTTGGGCTAGAGACCTTTTTTCGAAAAGCAAAAAAAAAAAAAAAAAAAAAAAAAAAAAGACTGGTCCCCATTCACTGCAGATACCAGGACCAGTAGAAAAGCAGTACAGGCAGGCCCAGCGCCTGGTCTATCCCAGCAAGCTGCTAGGATCCAGGTGAAAAGCACCACGGAAAACAGACCAGCTCTCATCACAGCTGCTGGGATCCAGGTGCCCAGCATACTGCATGGAAAGGCCCAGAGACCAGCTGAAATGCCAGCCACATGGTAGGATTCCCAGCCAAGGGGCAGTTGATGGACAACAAAGACTACTGGAGTGAAATTCTCAGAAGCAACAGTAACAATACAAGCCAACAGAAGGTAAGTTAGGTGAGCCAGCATTATGCTTGGGAACAAAGACACAAAGCAGAAGCAGGCAGACAGGATGTCCCCTTTTCTTTCTATATGACTGGGAAGAAATCCAGCCAGAGAAAATAGTCCCATCCCCCAAATCCAGATACCAAGTTCAGATAATGCCTTGTTTACTCCTTCATTCTTTCTCCTCTGCCCGGTTCTCTAGTTTTTGAAAGCTTGTGTGATCATCCTTTGTCCTCTAGCCTGGTTTCTACTTTTTCAGTTATCTTTGTTTTATCCAGTATCTTTCTTAAATTGCCCCACCATTCTACCAAGGGGAAATACTTTGCATACAAGCTCTCATTTTATGATCTATCTTGTAATATAATTGTAGATTTTGCTCCTATGGTTAGAAGTACAAATGTAATAGTTTGTCAGTTTCTAAAGTGCTTAATGCTATTGTTGCTAATTAAACTATTTTAGCTAGAATGTCATATATGTTTTAATCAGTTGTTCTCATGTCTGTGACAATACTGGGAAGTTCTGGGGAAATAACTTCACCACTTCCCAGAACCAAAGGAACGGGAACTGGGTCAGATACCAAAATCTCACTCTTAATTAATTAGAAAGGCAAGGTCTTGAGATATGACACAAACCAAGTCTTCTTACACAGAGAGGACACCCGAAAAAACAAACCTTACTTAGGACTTGATACTAGTGAGGATAAAGCCACCTACTACAAAAACATACATGCACTAACACAGAAAACAAAATAAAATTTTCAAAATAGAAAATGGCAAGACACAAAAACAAAATGCAACTTCAGACCTCCAGCCCACCCAGAAGTACAGGAGATAATGAGATAGAGGAAAATGGAAGACACACACCTGACACTTACGAAATATAGCAAATGAAATAAGCAAATCCATGAGGTTATTAAGGCAATCAGATCAGAAATAATTTCTTGGGTAAAAAAAGAAATGTCAACATCTATAAAGGAGTTACTTAGCAAATCTATAGATAGATTTAAAAAATAGACAATGATAGGAAGAGAATGGAAACCATGAATTATCAGTGAAGACAGACTTTCAGACCTTTTAGACAGGATCTTAGCGAGTGATCCTGAAAGGAAAGATGTCTTGAAAATAACGAAAGATCAGCAAACTACAAGTCAACAGCTTCAAGACAATGTAAAGAAAAAGGTGTCGATGAAAAAGGAGGAAAAACAATGACATAAAAACTTTGCAGAAGTAATACTAGAAAAATTCCCAAGCATGGGAAAAGAATTTGACATACAGATAAGTGAGATACACAGAAATCCAATTAGCCATAAGCAAAATAAATCTTCTAACTATATAATAATCAAGATCCCAGAAATTCGACCCAAGAATAGAATAGTAAAAGCTGCTGGAGAAAAAAAGAAAAAAAAAAAAAAAACATAAAGGAAAGCCCATTAGAATCACAGCACACTTAGCAACACAAACCCTCAAATCAAGAAAAGCTTGGAGTGAAATATTTCAAGTCATGAAAGAAAACAACTTCCAAGCCAGGCTGATAAACCCTACAAAACTATCTTTCAAATTTAATGGAGAAACAAAATACTTTCATGATAACAACTGAAGAAACTCATGACTACAAAACCAACACTACAAAGGGTACTGAAAGATATTCGAGGCAAAGATAAAAATGATCACAATTCAGCAACAAGAACAGAAAGAAACCACCAAGCAGGGCAAACAACTAAACAGAGGAAAAAGTAGGGAACCAACAGCAAAAAAATAACACGACAAACATAAGCCAATACTATTGGTTATAACCATCAATGTAAATGGCCTCAATTCACCAATCAAAAGAAACAGACTCACAGAGTAGATCAAGAAACACAATCCAACAGTATGCTGTATACAAGAAACACATTTAATTAAAAAAGAAATCCATAGATTAAAAGTCAAAGGAAGAAAAACAATACTTCATGCATCAGGAACCCAGAAAAAAGCAGGGGTGGCTATTCTGGTTGCAAATAATGTGAAACCAAGAATGATCAAAAGAAGGTCACTAAACACTTGTTAGGGGAAAACTTCAAGGGGAAGAGCTAACAATCATAAATGCATATGCAACAAATGGGCATATTTAACCCATACAAGAAAAATCAAGATACCCCTTGCTCATGAAGAAGAACCAACATAGTGAAAATGGCCATACTGGGGCTGGGGATTTAGCTCAGTGGCATAAGCACCTGCCTTGCAAGCAGGCAGTCGTGAGTTCAATTCCCAGTACCGATAAAAAAGAAAAGACAAAAAAAAAAAAAAAAAAAAAAAAAAAAAAAAAAAAAAAAGAAAGAAAGAAAATGGCCATACTTCTAAAATTGTTATACAGATTCAATGCAATCCCAATCAAAATCCCATTAGCATACCTCACAGAACTAGAGAAAACATTCCTAAAATTTATCTGGAACCAGAAGAGACCTAGAATAGCAAAGCAATCCTGAGCAACAAGGGAAGGCAGAAGTGTCACAATCCCTGATTTGAAATTACACTACAAAGCTGCTGTGATAAACTCAGCATGGTACTGGCAAAAAAAAAGCAGACATGAGTATTGGTGGGACAGATTCAAAGATGCAGACAAAAGTACAAACACACTCAGCACTTTATTTTGACAAAGGGACCAAATGTGTTTGCTAGAAAAAAGATAGCCTCTTTAATAAAGTGGTGCTGGAAAAACTGGCTCCCTACATGCTACAAGACTAAAACTAAATACATGTCTATCACCATGCACTGAACAACTGTCGAAATGGATAGAGGATCTAAATATTAAAATAGAAACAATCTACTGGATGAGAAAGTAGGTAGAAATCTTGAAGACACAGGTATAGGCAGAGAGACAAT